GGCCGGCTTGCGGGAGCAAGGCGCTCAGAAATTTGCTGGCGGCGCAGCCCTGTGCGTTGGCACTGCGCTGCTGTGGCCCCCTGCCAGGAAAAGGGGTGCAGGCCGGAGCCTGGGGGGTTTGCCTGGCCTCTGTCCTGCACTGAGGTCCAGCGGGTGTTTGCTTGCAGCTGGGGTGTCAGCAGTGCCTGTTCGTGCATCTCGCGGGTTTTTTTTTTGTTTCTTTTTTTTTGCGCTTAATCCATTAAGAGCAGTTTCTCCATCTTTTGGTTGTTCAGCTTCCAGCTCATTCCATTAATCTTCCTTTGCTGCCTTTGCTGCAAGTGCTTGGTAATTTATCACCACCTGCGCTTGTGTGTTTTAATTATCACTGGGATTTTTTGTGACACTTGTGCGTGCGGTTTGTGTATCATATTCTCCAAAGTACGTATATTCTTTTTGACAGCTTACTGGGAATGAGAGTAAACAATGTTTACGATGTGGATAACAAGACATATCTTATCCGCCTTCAAAAGTAAGAAATTCTAAGTTTCTTTACCCTGTACTTTAAATATGAAAACTGAATTCTTTGTATATATTTAATTCTGTGCTGATAGGTGTCTGGCTTTTCTCACTAGTTTTCAGTGAAAAGAGTTAAAGTATTCTTTGATAAAATGTGATAATTTTTACTCTGGAAATTTTTGGGAGATAGCATATGGTATAGCTGTTGTGAAAAGGGCAAAATACTGCAGAAGATATACAAAAGGCCAAAGGTATATAGCAAACGTACACAATTATTCTTGTTTGTCTTTGTGGGGAGGGAGGAGAGGAGCTGGAGGAATGTAGAGCAACACTTACATAAGCGATACTGGTGCCCGGGCCAAATGGCAGGTAGGCCTTGTGTCGTATTAGTCACTAAGCTGTCCGATCCAGTGCTTTCTGGGAAGGACCCCATGGTCATCTGCTTGGTTCCGGTTGTGTTAGAGGATGTTTTACTCCATTGCCTGGGAGGTGTTTTGCTAGCCCATGTTATCTGTAAACGCTCTGTCCTGTTAACTTAAAGTGTGGGTGTCCTTTTGCTGTCAGCCTGGCTGCAGTAGTATTTGATAGGCATTACTGTCCTCGGCAACAGTGTCTTTGTAGATGATGTGCAGCTGGTTGTGGTCCTTTGGTCTTGCTCTGGTGCAGACTGGTGTGTGGTAAGAGATGGCTGCCCGCGTGCCAAGTGGTGAGTCTTGATCTTGTTAACAGACCAGACTGCAAGGCCACGCTGCTGCTTGAATCCGGTATACGGATTCACACAACGGAGTTCGAATGGCCGAAAAACATGATGCCATCTGGCTTCGCGATGAAGGTAAATAAGCTACACTTTCTTTTTAAAAAGACAGCTGAATATGAGAAAGCGACTTTAATGCTCTGTCTTTGGAGGTGCAAGAAACCAGTGAAAGGATTTGCCTGGTGGGTCATAGTCAAGTGGATGAATGAAGACAAAGGAAGAGCAAGTGTGGACCTGGGGTCACATCACTGATGTTCAGTGCCAGAAACAAGGGAGATGTAATTCTCTGAAGACCAATAGTAGTCTGCTGAATGTTTCCTGGGCCACCCACACCTTTTACAGTTTTACTCCAGTGCAGGTTTATTGTTATGTTGTCCAAATTTGTAGGCACTACGCGGGCACAGCACCCTATATTAAATAGAGTTCAGTGTGCTGAACTTCAACGTTTCAGAGCTTGGCGTAAGCTGTTAGGATGCACTTCTGCAGGTAGATCTGCTTGGATGCAACCTGAGTGCTGAATCGTACGGGTGTGCTTATGCTAGCCCCTCTGGATGGAGCCGCATTAAAATGGCTCAGCAAAAATTGTCCAAGGTATTTTCCACATCATATATTGATGCAGCGATAATCCTGGTTCCCTTTGTAAGATGAACCCTTTGATTTTTAACTAGCCGCTCGTTGGTTGAGTTGGCATAGGTGACCTTGCTTTGAGTAAGCCAGCTTTTAATGGCAAAAATCGCTTAATGTTAAGAATCTGGAACAACTGTATTTCCTGTAAATATCAAAATATTGTTGTTTCGCTAAGAGCTGTCTCATCTCTGCAATAGTAAGATCAGCATTTTTAACCTCTTCTGGTGTTTGTCTGTAGTAAGTAAGCAGTGGTCAGAATGTCGCAGGAGGGATTGTAGCAGAAACAAGCAAATTTGTTTTGCTTTAAAATATCATCAGCAGGTCTGTGTGTGTGGTCTCACAGACTTTCTCTCTGTTGACAGTGCCGTAAGCATTTAAAGACGAGAAGACTTGTCAGTGTAAAACAGCTGGGTATAGACAGAATTGTGGACTTCCAGTTTGGAAGCGATGAAGCTGCTTATCACCTAATCATAGAGCTCTATGACAGGGTAAGTGCAAAGCCCAAGAGCGTTCTCTGTAAGAGCATACTTGCGCACGGCCTTTGCTAATGGTCGGCTGCGGTGTGCTTGCAGGGTAACATTGTCCTGACAGACTACGAGTACATCATTTTAAACATTCTGAGGTTTCGCACAGATGAGGCAGATGATGTCAGATTCGCAGTTCGGGAACGATACCCGATTGACAGTGCAAAAGCACCTGCACCCCTGCCGACCTTGGAAAGGTAACTAGATAGTGTACGTATAGGAATAAATCTAAATTACTGTCAACTGTGAATAGTGGTATGTCTTTGGATAGTCTTTTAATACGTTACAGGCCATTTTGCACTTCTCTTTATAAAACTGGAAATGTATTGTTGCCTCCGATCAATAAAAGACAGTCAGTAAAACCCATTGTTCATCATTCTTTGGAATGGCAACTCTCCATTATCTTTCCTAGGTTAACTGAAATAATATCAAATGCACCCAAAGGGGAACAGCTGAAGAGGGTTCTTAACCCCCATCTTCGTAAGTAATCATGTTTCATTACAAAATGAAACGGACAATATATGTTATCTTTAGACAATGCTGAACAACTTCAAGCAGTCTTTTTTTGAAGTTGTTCATTACGATGTGGCTTTATGTATGTTTGAAAAACAAAACAACAAACAACCCAAGGTTTTGAAAACAAATAAGGTCCTTTTAATTCAAAGCCCGCTGCACATGGGCCTTCCCATGATCGTACAGTACTGAGGACCTGAAAAGAGTCTTCTCTTTTCAAAGAGAAGAAGGAAAAAAAAGAAAACTTTCAAAAGCTCCTTTTTTTCTTTTCAAAGAAAGCTTTAAAAGCTCTTCTGGAGCTGTGACTTGATGCGTTTTGCCTAGGGTCTTGTCTTTGGTGGTGCTGAGTAGGAGGTGTAAGAGTGTACAGTCAGGGCAAGGATATTGTTAGAAAGTGGCCGTGGGATGCCAGTGTTGTCAGTCACAGAACAGGTGACAATGTGGCAATACCGGGATGCTCTGTCTGTGCATCGGGACGTTCCCTGTTAGCCAGGCAAAGCCCACCATGCCCCTGGTCTGGTTGACCACAGAAGCATGGTGGTATGTGACATGGTCAGAAAAGTAAGTTTGATTTATTGTCCAGACTTGGCTGTGTTGATCAGGTGCAGAGCTGCCTGGCAGGTGACCCCAAACGCCCCAGTTACATGATTTGCAGACTTTAATATCCGTTTTCCCATTTTTTCGATTCTCTTTTTCACTGCTCTTGTCCCTCCCTTTCTCCACCTTGGTCTCCTCTTGAATGTACAACCCACTGCTGGTTACTTTTCCCCATTGGTCTCAGTTTTGCTGTATAAGTACCCGAATGTGGTATTTCTGATAGTGCAGTATTACTGATGTGATTGCCTAGACACCGTTGGCCTGGCAAGGTTCTACTCTCCAAAAGGTCCACAGATCTTCCCCTGAGTTATTGTGGAGTTTGGCCATTTCTCACATCACTCTCTCTCAACCGTTGTGAAACCCAGCCATTCCTCATGGCACTGTCTGTAACTTTTGTCACTTCTCACACTGGTAACTGTCATGTCCAGCACTTTCTCGTGTTGTGCCCTGTAGCTCCTCACAGCCTATTAAGTTATCTTCACCTCAGGCCAGGGCCTGCTCAGCAGCCCAGTGATTTGCCTGTACCGTTAACAAATAAACTGATGTTTTCCCAGAGCAGTCTCTCAATCCAAGTAATCTATGTTTTAGAGACTTCTCTAGTAAAAGCAGACATCTTTGGATTTAATAGATTGGGTTGGATTTTTCTCTTCTGTAACCTGTATGAACTTCCATCATCCAAAATATCTTGTGGCAAAGGGTTCCACGGCTTGCTTAAATGTCACGTGAAAAGCCACCTTCTTTTGTTTGCTTCGAAACTGGTCTCAGCAGTTTTATTTGGTGCCCTAGTACTTGCATTGGAAGAGATGGTGAGCAGTTGCTGTCTATTTACCTACTCTGTGCCAGTCATTTTATAAATCTTCTATAGTTATATAGTCTATAGTCTTCTATCTTCTACTGTGCCAGTCATTTTATAAATCTTCTAGGCTGGCTAGTCTACGGTTTAGCTTATATAGTCTTTCCTTGTACAAGAAGCTGTTCCGAGTTGTTGATCATCCATGTTGCCCTTCTCTGGGCTTTTTCTAGCCCTGCCAAGTTTGAGATGGGGTGAGTAAAACCGTTCCTAGCATTCAGAGTGAAAGTGCACCACAGATTTATATTGTGGCATGATTTTCCCTGCTGAGTTCATTGTTCCTTTCCTAATAATTCCTAACATGCGGCTTGACTCTTTTGTCTTCACTGAGTATTGAGCTTATGTTTCCACAGAACTGTCTTTCAGGTCTTGTTCCCAAAGAGTGATGAATAGTCAGTTGGGCCCTGTTATTGTGTGTGCAGAATGGGGATAGTCTTTCCCCACGTACATCATTTTATATTGATTTACAGTGAGTTTATCTGTCAGTTCTTTGTCTAGTCGCTCCCTGCTGCTGTGGTCTCCTCCGGTTCTTCACGGTTGGCTGGCTATTGCTGAGACAAGCTCTGTGTCATCAATAGGCTTTGCCCCTTGCTCTTTGTTCCCCCTTCCCAGGTCAGTGATGTGCGTGTTGAAAAGTGTAGACCCTAGCATAGGTCCCTGTAGCAGAGCTCGGTTCACCTCCCCTGCCTGTGGGGTAGGCACTGACAGCTGACACCTTCTCCTTGCTCCCTGTCTTTCAAACACTTTGTTTTCCCGGCAGAGGTTATCGTATTATCCTGTGGCTGCTTGTCTCCTGTAAGTGCTTTGGGGTGAGCTTTGTTAAATGCTTTCTGGAAATCCAAATAGACCTCATCTATTCAGCCTCCCTTGTCTTTGCGCTTTTTGACTCTCTTGTGGATTTATGAGGCAAAAGACAAAACTCTGTTGGCTCTTTTCCTGTGTATATTTATCCACGTCTCTGCTGGTTTTAGTCTTCAGCCTAAAAAGAAGTTGGTGGTTTCCCAGTCCTAGGGGAAAGGGTCCCGCTCTTTGTAATTGCCAATTCATTAGCCTCCTTTTGCCCCTCCTAGCAAGGCAAGTGAGACGTTGCAAGCTACAGCAAATAGTTTGGTCTCTCCACGCTTGAGTTCTTTTAAACACCTGGCTGAGTACCCCAGGGTCCGGAGGATTTGCTGCTGCTCCTTTTGTGTGGTGGATCCATCACCTCCTCTCCTGACAACTGGATTTGAGACAGATCTTCTGACACACTGCCTCTGTAGAGAAACGTTCCAGCTAGAGCTTCCTTGTGCCCCTGCGCTGTGAACTAAATCCAAGATGCTAATTTAGTTTTCCTGCTCTAGCCACCTGAGTGTATCTTTCCTACCTAGGTCATTTCTTGAACCTGCTGATTATAGCTGGCGGATTATAGCTGTTTATGGTATAAAACAGCTATATCTCAAGCTTCATTTTGGCCTGCCTTACTGTGTTTTACGTTCCTACAGGCCAGAGTTTGGTTTCCTATTTTCTGCAGTGGACACAACTTCAGTTCCTTGCAGGATACCCCTTTGCTTTTAACAGTTTCTCTCATCCTGCTGTGCAGTCATGCTTCTTTGGATTTTTCTGAAGCGGTTTGATGAGCGGTATGTGTTTGTTCTGAACCTGCAAAACAGCATCTTTAAATAGCCTGCGGGCAGTCTGTAGGCTTTGTGCTTTATTGATTGTCTTAATTTCCTTCTAAGATGCTTCCTTGCTTTATGTAATCTTTCCTTTTAAACTGAGCCTGCCTGTAGTAGATTTCTTGGGTTTTTTATTGTGCTAGAATGGATGTTGAATCCAAGAACGCTATAGTCTCTGTCACAGTGTAGCTCTTTAACAGTGATATTTTAATCAGATCCTGTGAGCAAATCAGAGAAGCTTTTCCTCCTTTGAGCTCTCTGATTAGCTGCCTCATCAAGCAGTCATTAATAGTGTCTAAAATTTTAGTCTCAGCCTTGTATCCTGGACTGGGTCGACTTAAATCCGATTTAGTTGTTCTTTGACCTTCACAGTCTCTTAGCTGTTCTTCTGCACGTTAGGGTGACCATCAGCCCTGCTCAGGCAGTTGATTCTGTAGCCCTAATACTGCATGTCCCTTGTGTAGGCCTCGATTTTCATTTTCTTGGGATTCTGGTGTTTGTGCAGGTGGTTAACTTGTCTATGTGGTTGGACTCTTAAGATCCTTTTATGGGTCGCCTACATCATTCTAAGTTTTATGCTGCGTTGTCCTAGTGATTGTCTTCCTTCCACCGTGTTCCTGCTTTGCTTGTTCTCAGCTAAACTAGCTTTTCCATTGCCCCGTCTTGTTTCTCAGGCTTTATGTTTAATCTTTGTAGGAGGAGGTATTTCTGTGGTTTTGTCTGCTGCTTCTCTACCTTCTGTTGGAATGGGGCTGCGCTGGTTTCTGCTGTCCCTCGTTCCCCAGTTCTTTACTCGAAGGTACAGAGCTTGAGGACTTCACCCTTTGTAATATCTTATCCCAAACCAGATGCTTTTCTACCCTTGTTGGGTTTCCTACACTCAGAAACTTCCCTATCCCTTTTTAAGTTTGTCATTCCATTTTGGCCCAGATGAAGCCCATCCTTCCTCTGTATCCTCACTCTGTTCCAGACCTTTGCCAGTTCCAGATGACCTTAAGCATCATTAGGTTTGTAAGATCCCATTTGCTCAGCCCAGTGCCGAGACCGGCTGCTCTGCCTGGCCAGCGAGCGTTTCTGAGAGCACCGCCATGGGAATGCTGGTCACCTGCTTTTCCAGCTGCCTGGACTTTGCTGCGTTCTGGGACCGCCGCTCCTTCGCTCTACCCAGTCTTTCTAGGCATTGACTGTAGTTTCGTGGCCTTAGTTTGTTGAAGCACTTCTCATGATTTTGATGCAAATGCAGAATTCATTGTAAATGTTTTTGATAGCTGATTCTTCTGGGTTTTTTTATAGCTTATGGAGCCACCCTCATTGAGCATTGCCTTATAGAAGCGGGATTTTCTGGTTATGTCAAAATAGATGAACGTATGGAAAAGAAAGGTATGTAGGAGGTAATTTTTTAAAGCCTGTACTGCATGCTTGATGGTTTTTGTGTCTATGTGGTATTTTTTTTCAAAGGGATAACTAATCCTCACGCCTATAGTTCAGACCGTATGGTTATGTCGTGTAATGTTTTTAGGCTGGAGATCAACCTTGTTCTCATTAAACCTCTTGAATTGTGCATGTATTAGAATTACAATATCAGAGTCCTCCTATGGTCTAAATGTTTTTATAATGAGATATTATTTTAAAAATCAGATGAACTCTGGCTGTGGAAAGGGATATTTTTACAAGAATCCTGAATAGAAGAGTTAGTATCAAAGCCTTCCATTAGCTGTGACGGTCATGGTGGAGATTTGATAAAGTAGCTGCTTTACATTTATTTAGAAACTATGGATTTGGGTAAAGTCAGAATGGATTGTTTTCATAGTCTCATTTTTCTTAGGTGCTTTTATATTTTCCGTAATTCAAAAGGACTTTTTACATCTTCCTACTGCATTGTGGTACTGTAATAAATCGACTTTGTAACAAACAAATTCGCACAGCTACTGGCTATGCTTTGCCTCTGTAGTTTTGTTTTCATAAAGTGCTAGCATATGTATTTTTTTTAATGAAATTTGAACAGTTATGTCTTAAAATAGGTATTTTCTTATATTAAAAATTCTGCAAATGAAAATATGTGTAATGTTCAAAGTGAACAGTAATTGTTGTAGTCAAGCACCAATGATAAAGGTTATATAATATTTTATTTTTGAAACGTATTAGAATCCTACTTTTAGGATATTTCACAAGGCCGCATGATGACGTGAGCTTCCTGTTGACATGGTTAAGTTGGACAGATTGCTCCATGCGCATAGTTGGAAGCACAGTTGCCTGGGTGTTTTTGTTGACTTGCTGTTGTGCTATGTTTATATCAAAATATCTTTTTGTTCTAGGTGTTTTAAAATCTTCCTCCTCTCCTCCCTCTCTCTTTAGAAAATATTGAAAAAGTGCTTACTGCTTTAGAGAAAGCAGAAGAATATATGACGCTAACTGACAACTTCAGTGGAAAGGTAGGTCTCAGCTGAGCAACTTGGTTATCAGTTACGCAGGAATTGCAGAATTCAACTGGTAGGCAGGTACTGTTCAGCATGTATCTGCTGCTGCTGTTACCGTCTTCAGGTTTTGTTTCATGTGCTTGGGCTTCAGGTAGTGGTGAGGAGTAAAAATTGCTTCCTTGCATTCCTTGCAGCAATTAAATAACTTCTAAGCAGATAATATGTTCCTGTCAGAACTGCATTTGTGCTCTAATAGTGGGAAGCACTGTTTTGCATGTAAGACTTACATTTGTGTGGTAAGCTGTAGGGTAGTTCTGAGGTTCGCAGGAGAAGTTCATCTTTTTTCTGGAATACATTGGAGTCGAGTGAGTGGTCAGGACTCATTCAGTCAATCACATTGCTAGTGCCAAAAGGTCTCTCCTCTGGAATGAATTACTGTCTCATGCTGATCAGTAGGTTAGCACCTAAAACTTCCTGCCTTGCCAAGATAAGGGGATGGGGGATCCTTTTCAAAGACAAACGCTGATGACATACTTGTGTTTTATTTTAGGGTTATATTATCCAGAAAAGGGAGAAAAAGCCAAGCCTGGAACCAGATAAACCAGCAGAAGATATCTACACGTAAATGTTTGAAGTAGTTACTCCCTTTTTTACTAGACTGCATTACTTAAATTAGTTTTCAGGTGATAATATCGAATGTGTATTTTACAGATATGAGGAATTTCATCCTTTCTTGTTTTCTCAACATTCAAAATGTCCGTACTTGGAGTTTGACTCATTCAATAAGGTACAGTGCTTTTGCTGATACTGTACTTAGGTGCTTTGATTGACTGATGCTAGAGAGCGCAATTAAAATACGGTGCTGAAGTTGTTAATGAAAACACAGACCTTGGAACAAGTCATTAATTTGATGGATAAGTGTGTTGTGCAGAAAAGGCTGAGCAGAATGGGACCTGGAGGCTCTTACTGAGCAGTATCATCTTTATTAACTCTGTAGCTGCAATTCAGTATGTGGCACTGACTGCGGGTGTGTATTGAGCCTGCGTGGAAGTTGGCTATTGATCAGTCCTGGTCAAACATATTTGTTACTGGAGAGCACAGAAGCTGAGTTACTGCTGAAGGCGAACAGTCAGCACCTTTATACTTTTCCTGTGACTACTTGGAAAGGTTCAAGCATCTGATTTAGTATTTCCTTGAGTGTTGTCCTTCCTGGTCCTTGACTCACTAATGTTATCTGAAATCATTAACTACTTGTTGTTCCTGGCCTTGATCTCCAGAGTTCCCATTTCACTTTCCTGCCCTGCTTCTTGTCTGGATTTCTGTCACCTCCTTCACAACATCAATGGTCTAAGCAGCCTAAAACCTTCCTCTCCATTTGTTTGAAGCGCAGTGTCTGGCAACTGGAGCACTACACCAGGAGGAGTTCTAAAGTGTGCTTTCTTTTTTTTTTTTTTCTGAACTGACCAATTGGTGCAGCAGGGATTCAGGGCTGACAGGGCTGTAACTGCAGTAGTTTAATCTGAAGAGCACACTGTGTGAAACAGCAGGTTCCTTCTGCCACTACAATTTCTTAACGTAGAATGAGGCTCCCAGTTCAGCCAGTTATTTACTCATGTCCATAGCCCCCAGATTAAAGTGAGACATTTTGAGTGATGTCTTGCTGAACTGGTCTCGTGACAAGCTAAAACAAAGGGTGTTACTGAACCCTGTTTTAGCATCTGTCTCCTATTTTAGTGCTTTGCCGTCACCTCTCATGAGGAGAACCTCATCTGTCTTCTGTTGTTCTTGGCACAGGTTGATGCATCTTGAAGATCCTTAAATCTGACTCTCTCTTGCAGGCAGCAGACGAGTTCTACTCCAAGTTGGAGGGACAGAAGATTGATCTGAAAGCGTTGCAGCAGGTATGTTCTCATCCAGAAGCGGAGCAGCTGTGGTGGCTCTCTCAGAGCTCTCTCAGATGGTTCTTTAGGGCATTTGGTTCACGTAGCTTGGGGTAGAGGAGGAGTCATGTACTTATTTTTGCTGTGGGAACGTTGAATCAGTGATGGTCATAGAGCAGGTTTCAATCTGTATAATGCAGTGGTTGGTTCTGCTTGGAATACAAGTAATAACGTTAAGAGCAGTTCTTCGGAAACTTTTCTGCATCCCGTATGCTCTAAGTTGTGTATGTTGTATTTTTTTAGCTGGAATGCAGCGCGGAGTGTCTTTGCAGTGAATAGGTGGTAAGATACTGTTTTTCCCATCTTCCTTGTTTCTGAAAGGAAAAACAAGCCCTGAAGAAACTTGAGAATGTCCGTAGGGATCATGAGCACAGACTAGAAGCTCTTCAGCAAGCTCAGGTAAGACTGGGATTGTTAACTGAGAAGATATGTAATGTTTCTTGAAGAAATGCACCTGCTGGTCCTGATGGCTGTGCTCAGCATTGGATCCCAAAGGAAAGCCTTCACCTGCCTGTGAGCACCCTGCAACCCCTCAGGGAGCCTGGGCCCGCCCAGCTGGGCTCTGCTCCCTTACCGAAAGTTGGCACCTCCCTTGCCAAGAGTTGCTTGTAGAGCTCTGCTTGCGGGAGTCAAGTCGGTCATTGCCCCATGTGATGACTTGAATGTCGTTCTTGGATTTTGTCTCAGTATTAATTGTAACATATTAACAATATTAATCAGTACTTTTATTTTTAAAAATATTGCCGAGTTTGTGTTTAGCTTGAATAGTGATAAGCTTTTTTCCTTTCCTTAAGGAAATTGATAAGATAAAAGGAGAACTCGTAGAAATGAACTTAGAGATAGTTGACCGAGCCATCCAGGTGGTTCGCAGCGCATTAGCCAACCAAATAGACTGGACGGAGATTGGAGCGATCGTAAAAGAAGCTCAAGCACAGGGGGACCCTGTTGCAAGTGCAATCAAAGAATTAAAGCTTCAGACAAATCATATCACAATGCTGCTGAGGTGAGTACGTTGCAGATCCTCCATACCAAATGCAGATGGGAGTGACTGCGTGCAGTGAGCTGAGCAGGAGACAGTTGTGTTTTCAGTTGCTGCGCTGGTATTTAAGCTATTCAGTTTTCCTTATATTAACACGAAAAGAATTGCAGCTAGTATGAACTGCAAGTCTTGATGCTGCTCCCTGCTTTCTGTAGTCCTGATGAGAGTCCTGATGAGAGAGCTGGCAGTGAGGTAGTACCTGGAAAGTCTTAAAAAACCTCCGTGAAATAATAAAAGGCTTGCCGTGTTGCAAGCCAAGTGGGAATGTATTTCAGTATAAGTATGTCAAATATTGCATATCCATAATCTTTCACTAAAGGTGAGAGAGATCCTGTGTAACCTGAGCTGACAGTGTATCAGGATGCTGGAGATATAAAAGTGAGAATTTCAGTTTTATAGCTAAAACTTCTGTTATGAAAGCTGTTATGAAAAAGTGAACTTAAAATTTTAGTTCCGTTATTTTCAAACATGTCAGTAATATATTCCAGAATAGGTTTGCTTTCAGGAGTCAGTTCTGTGTTGGTAACTGCGTGTTACAGCAGTCTCCTGTCTGTTTTTATTATGAATAATCACTTCACTGATCACACAGCTTAGTTAGTCCACCACGTGTTGAATCATGCGTCCTTAGCACAAAGGACTGTGGAGATGTATTTCCCTTTATGAAGAACATTATTTTATGCTGCTCCACCACCTTTTGCTACGCAGACTCAGCACCACTGTATTGAGCAAGATTTAAGGTGCTGGTGAGAAGGAAGCGCCATTCCAGCCGATCTGTGTTCAGCATGCTTCTTTGAAAATGGGATGAGAGATATTTTATGAGATTTTAAACCACTGCAATGCTGTGCTATTCACCAAATCAGCTTGACGATGTACCTGCCCTCATTTCACATGCCCATCAGGCATAGAATGCCTTGCGTTTGTCTCTGTTCTTCTCCTAATTTGTGAAAGCAGGCTCAAAACAAAGAACTGTTCTGACGACCTAATTTTTTTCTTTGCGTTGAGAGCAGAGATGTATATCTCTTTGTAAAAGTGACTGGAGGATTTAAAAGAAAAAATTTGCCTTGGAAAATGCCACCTCCTTGAATTGGAAAATCTCAGCTCTTTTTATCTTTTGGTTTTTCTTTTCTTTTTTTCCCCCCCCAAGCATTGGCTGACTCTAAGGCAGAAACCTGCTTGCATAGAAGGCAACCTAGGGCCTTCCTGCAGCTGCACAGTGAAAATGGTATTAGGATTTTCTGGCCATTTCCAGTCTTCATGAGAGAACAGAAGTACAAATGCATCGCGCTAAGGTTAAAAAATAACCGGTTCTCTTACCTTAATCAGTGTGATATATCTTTTAAGGAACCCGTACTTGTTATCTGAAGAGGAAGGGGAGGAGGAGGAGGATGCTGATTTAGAAAAAGAAGGAACAGAAGAAACAAAAGGAAAAAAGAAAAAGAATAAAAGCAAACAGTTGAAGAAACCACAGAAAAACAAGCCGTTGTTAGTTGATGTTGATCTCAGCTTGTCTGCGTATGCCAATGCCAAAAAGTAAGGTTTACAATGAATGTGTGCTTTGGTCATAGAACTTTCTGTGTGCTGGCAGTTAATAGCGATAACATCATAGGAAGGGCCCCACGTGTATCTTTTGTGAATTAAAAGTTAGAAATTGAAAGAGGTAGCTTGTCCTTAGCTCTAGAATGTGTATTTTCCTGGTCCCAAAACACTATCTCACTATTACATAGCAGGTTGTCTCTTGCTATCGTATTAATTTAATTTTGAGTAAAATTCTGCACAGAGACGCATGAAACAAAATGGCTTTTGCCGCACAGTAATCCAAACAGAGTGCTCGGTGTGTCTGCGAAGGGCCGTTACTTCATTTGGCTACTTTTCTCAGATGAAGACTAAGCCAAAGATTTGAGCTAAAAATTACTATATCAAAACTGAATGTTTACTACAAATGTCAAGGACCATAAGAAATACACTCTAAAAATGAGCGGACGTGCTGGGATTTCAGATGTAAACAGATTTCTATTTCACAGGTATTATGATCACAAGAGACATGCAGCTAAGAAAACACAGAAGACAGTAGAAGCTGCAGAGAAGGTATTTCTTCTTAGTTGTTCTTAAAAGATATTTAAAAGCAAAGCCTCTGTCACTGATAAGTGGAAAATTCAGACTTAGTCTAGGTAATTGTAATGAGACACAAAAGGTGAAATCAACCAACCCGGGTCGTTTTGTTCTTGGGCTGCTAAGGTCACTGAATAGAGGCCTACAGATCCCCGCTGTGTTACCCGGTTTCCATCAGTCGCCCTGTGAACACTTAGGCGGGTGCTTGATGGAGATATTGGCAGACCAGAACTTAGGGAGACAGGAGTGGAAAATTAATGGAAATCCTTATGATCAGACAGCTGATAATCTTTTCGGGGGGCTGCTAAAAAGTGAAGATTTATGAATATTTTAGGATTACTGGTTTTGTATGTGGATGAAAAGAACGTAGGCTTGCGCACAGCAGTTTGTAGAGCCTGCAGTCTGGAAAAAAAAGAAATTTCCTACTAGCTTTCCTACTCTTTGGTTAGCACCTGTATGATTCCTGTGCTGGGGAACTGAGATCATACTTTCTGTCTAAATAGGCATTTAAATCAGCTGAGAAGAAGACAAAGCAGACACTGAAGGAAGTTCAGACAGTTACCACCATTCAGAAAGCAAGAAAGGTCTATTGGCAAGTACAATTTCACTGTCATTATCCAGTGTGTTGTGGATGCGTGCAAATTCAAAAGGACTGTGTCAGGTTGACTTTTTACTAGGTTAGAAGTGGGTAATTATTATTATATTAGTTAATAATGTTTTCTTAGCATTACACTTGACATTGAGTCTCCCTCTGGTTACTCCTTTAAGTTGCTGGCTTGATTTTAATAGTGCCTTTGCCTCAGAAAGTTCCTTTCAGCGGGGCTCTGCATAGGTTCATGGTCCTGTTCTGTGGGTCGCTTTGCCTGACTGTGGACGTGGAGTTGCACTTTAGCTGAGTTTTTTTGCCTCGAGCAGAGCTAGGAGGATGGGCTTAATTTAAAAAAAAAAAAAAGAAAAAGAAAAAAAAAGAAAAGGAATCTTTGCTATTACTCTCTGGCAGCTTCAGATATGTGAAGTAATAATGGTAGATTTAAAAAAAAAAAAAAGCTTTTTGTAGTCTAAGAACTAAATTAATAAAAATAAATAGGCAGCTGGACTTTGTGGTGACAGTGCTTGTTGTGTCATCTCAAAATATCATTGACATTGTACAAATGTTACATTTGTACCGTGCCTTGGTTTTATGCCATAGGCATATGGATTGCTATGAAACTTGATGCAGCATCTGTTAGAAGTCATAGATACTAAGATGGATGTTCTCAGTTTGGTACAAAAAATAACTCTGTGATGTACTGTTAGTCACAGGTGTTTTTCACACAATGGATTGATGTAATTTGGCAGGTTTGAGAAATTCCTGTGGTTCGTTAGTTCTGAGAATTACCTCATTATCGCTGGAAGAGATCAACAGCAGAATGAATTGATTGTCAAGAGATACCTGAAATCAGGTAAGTCTGATTAAGTGGAGTATATCAGTCTCTCTCTTGCTTTCCAGTTTTGTAAATGTGCAAGGAGAACACAGCAAGAAATGTCTGGTCCGTTCTTGAGTTGGTGTTAGGTGCAAGGGGACTTTGGTGATGGTAAATCTAGAAATTTTGTTTCTTGTCGGTGGAGTGCTAGGTTAGTCTGGTGTGGACCTTCAGCTCTTGGGTAAGAGTGGGTTGGACAGATGCCTGTAGGGACCAAATGAGCTGATCCTGCCTGGGGCAACAGGTATAGACTAAAAGGCTTCCAGATCCCTTCCCATCTGTTTCTCTGCAGTCAAGATAGCCATTTCCCATGGGCACCGGGAATCTTCCCGAAAGTGATCTGTGTAGTTACCAAAAGTGTCACTTTTCTTCCAGGGGACGTATATGTGCACGCTGATCTCCATGGAGCCACAAGCTGTGTGATCAAGAACCCAACAGGTACCTCGTGTGGAGCTCGTTTGGGGACTTTGAGAAGCGTCAGGGTGCTGCAGATTGGCGATATCTGCACTGCATGTCTGAGCCGAGCCCAGTGAGCTGCCTTCCCCTATCGCTGCGGTACCCGGCTGCAGCAGACGTTTCACTTAGGACATGAGAGGCATCAGCAGGTTGTTGTTAACTGCTGAGGCATCAGCAGGTTGTTGTTAACTGCTGCTGCTTCCCAGCCCTGACTGGCTGCTTGTGCTCGCTCAATTCAGCTCCTGTTGGGAAGGAGCAATGGAGATGCGCTTTGTGGAGACAGGCGTTAGTCGCTGGTGGTGTGCCAGTGCTTGCCGCTTGCCACAAGGACTGGAGTCCTGTTGAGACTGTAGCTCCCTTTCATTGGTGACCTAAGTGTTTTGGGTGCTGTTGAAGGGGAATGGATCTCAGCAGAGGAGTCTGCTGCAGTGACGGGGATCTCATGTGAGATCAGCCGTGCAAGTGCCGGTCGGTGCCCTGTTCCTGGGAGGTGGCAGGAACTGGCCTTACTCTGTGGGCAGCACGGTTAGTGCTCCCTTGTGGGAGCTGAGCTGAGGAAGGAGCAGTAGCACAGCTGGCTTCAGCCTCTGCTGAGGAGCTGAGAAGAGCAGCTCCTGACACTGCGTCTGCTCTATTCATGCTGCCCTCAAACTCAGCCAGGCCACCTTGCCTCTGCCCAGGAGCTCTGAAAAGTCCATGCATCGGATTTGGGAGCATGTGGAAGTTGGAGGGTCACGTTCTGTTGCACGTGTTGTGTTCGCTGATGTGCTGGATGTTACTGTTGCAGCTGAACCGATCCCTCCACGGACCCTGACAGAGGCAGGCACGATGGCGTTGTGTTATAGCGCTGCCTGGGATGCCCGTGTTGTCACCAGTGCTTGGTGGGTCTTCCACCACCAGGTAAGGACACTTGTGCATGCAAACAGGACATCTGAAGGAACAAATGTGGGACTGCAGATAAAATCTCTCTGTATGGGAGCTAAAGGATGTGGATGAAACTTCTCTTCTTGGATACCATTTGTTGTGCTTTCTGCTTGGCTGTGCTGCGCTGACTTAAGGGCAGGGCTGCAGGGGTGGCCTCTGACGTGACATATGCATGGCTGAGGCAACGTTGCAAGCTTGGCTTCTTGTAAAAAAAAAAAAAAAAAAAAATCTTCCTCTCTTCTAATAAACAAGTTTACATTTTTTCAGGCAAGGTTCTAGCTTGTATGTTAACTACGGTCTCGCTGTGCTTCCGAGCAACTCGCGTGTAAGGATTGAAAGATGGTAACATTAAACTAAAGGTCGCAATGCCTTCAGTTGTTCCAATTTCCTGAATAAAACCCAGTTCCTCATTCAGGGCTTCCGAAGCATAGCCCCGTAGCGTGTGATTGAACTGAAATATCCCTTAGGAAGATGTCCTACAAATGGCAGGGAGAACTCTTCAGTTACTGAGTCCTTCTGCTAAGCGGTTCACATAAGCTAAAAACGCAGCTTGCTTGAATGTTCCTTCTGCTAGTGCTATTGTTCTGTAGTGCTGGTCTTCTATGAAGGATACTCCTTATACTGTATCCTACTGTTCTCAGGTTTCTAAAACTGCACCTACAGGAGAATACCTCACCACCGGAAGCTTCATGATTCGAGGTGAGACACGAGAGGACAATGGGAATTTGACATAAAGCGTTTTGTCTGGAAATGCTCTGCTGTCCTGCAGTGGCAACCACCTGAGGTGTCCCACTGTCACTGTGGCAGGTGGCAGATATTGCTCCTCTCCTCAAAATCTGTTCTGAGTGGCAGAGACCAAACATCAGACAGCTACATCAGCATCTGCTAGCTGATTAGAGGCGCTGGGCAGAAGATGGTTAGCCACATTGCTTTCATGTTTCACAAGTTTTGTTGTCCTCCAAGAGCTAGAACAAGCCCCAGTATAATTTTTGGTGACCTAAAGCCTCTAATAAAAGTGAATTTTGGAAATACGTTATCTGACATAGCTGTTAAACCTCCTTATGGGAATCTGCCTTTGTTTTTCAGGGAAGAAGAACTTTCTTCCTCCTTCATATCTGATGATGGGGTTTAGCTTCTTGTTTAAGGTACTGCTTTCTCTGTGCAGCTCTTGCTGTTTCTTTTCATTTGGCTTGAGCTGTAGGAGGCTTACTTTCTACTTCTTGCTTACCAGTATGTTCCCCATTACTACTTTTCCCCCTGGGGCAAATCCCATAAAATGCTACTCAGGGAAAATTCCCTCACTAGCTTTACTTTTGAGGTTGCCAGACTAGGTTTAAATGCGCTGATTTAGTTTCCTTCCCTTAGGAGTGTAAAAAGCGTTAAAAGAGAAAGAATAAAATGCTGAGCTGGTGTTCTCTGAATAGGCTAGTGAACATCACTGGAACAGGCATCAGCCTAATACAAAGGTGCCTTTGCTATTAGGTGGATGAAAGCTGTGTTTGGAGACATCGAGAAGAAAGGAAGATCAAAGTGCAGGATGAGGATCTAGAAACTGTCTCTAGCAGTGCCAGCGAACTGGTGTCTGAAGAAGTGGAGCTATTAGGTATGATGGTGTGACTGGAGCACTGTGTGCGCTGCTGCCAAGTGGGACCATTTGGGCTTGCGCATTCAGTTCTCTGCACTCTGGAATGGGTCAGTCTTGTGTTTCTAATGTGAACTGTGCTTTCCTCAACCGTGCACCCCAGAAGGAGGAGACAGCAGCAGTGAGGAGGAGAAAGCTGAGGGTCAAGAAGCACCAGAGGATGTGGAAGAGAGTAATCGCAGTGAGGGTGTAGCTGACCCTGACCAGGGCAGGGTAGAGACACCTCCTGCACCAGAGGGTGTCTCAGAAGAGGACAATGGAGAATCTGGAGATGAAGTGGAAGATCCAGAGTCAAAGAGTGAAGTGAAGGAGGAAGAGATAAATTACCCAGATACAACAATTGACCTGTCACACCTTCAATTGCAAAGGTATGTGAATGAGCGGTTGTGTTTATCAGCGGTGTGGGCCCTCCGAGGATCTCCGTACTGTTAAAATGCCATATTGACCTGCCAAGGCAAGGGCAGCGTTGAGTTGCCCTCGATTCCTTTGATGCCAGAGCAGAGGGCTATAACTGCCACGCTCTGTACCCATTCCCTGTCCCCTCTCTACTTGCTTTGGACCTCCCTCCTCAAATACGCACGCGCGTACGCATACACAGAGCTGCTCATTCCCTGGTCAGCGGTATCTGGCTCTTTGGCTGCTGCTTGTTACTTCTTATTTTGGCCTAGGCATCCCTAGCACTGCTTTTGCTCCTCAGGAGATTGTGAGATGAGCTTATCTCCCTGTTGTCCATGAAAATGGCACTGCATAGAGAGTGTTAAGAGAAGGGATTGAGCAGGTGGAAAGGGGCACCTCTTGTCGGGAACACTGCAGAAGATTAGGGCTATCTGCTTGGGTCGTTGAACATCAGGGTGTTTCTTTAGCACGTGCTATATCCAGGCTGTCTTTGCTGGGTGTGTTTGTGTGTGTGCATGAGACAAGCTGGCAGAGATCTGAGGACCTGCTTTGTAAACTTATTCCCAGTATTGCGGCCCTTTCCCTTCACCAAAGCTGTGACTTTCGAAGAAGAACTAGAAAGCTGAAAGCCGTATAACCAAGTGGCCGATGTCTGGGCTGTGGTGGTGCGTGCAGGGCTGAGCTGCTCTTCATCCGGTGACAAGCTCCATTTCAATCTCCCCACAGATCCCTGCAGAAAATTGTCCCCAAAGAGGAAGGACCCAACTTGGTAAGGTCCCAGCTTAGATGTTTGGCAAAGAGCAATGTGAACTGCCGCTGGACATGGTGCGCTTTAACCATATTTCACTTTCTAGAGTGACAGCAAGTCCCAGGGGCGAAGGCATCTCTCCGCCAAGGAGAGGAGGTGAGAGCATCTGTTTGTTTGGGGGGAGGCAAATGCATCCGCCTTGTTCCCTGTTCAGGACCTGGGGGTAGGGCATGGCTTGCATCTCCCAGTCTGGACCCTGCCTGCTCCCTGAGGAAGGTAGCGCTTGCCCAAAAGCACCAGGTCTGCGGTGCTGCCCCGTGCTCCCCGCAGGCAGGACTGCTGGGCGAGGGCAGGTGGCGGGGCCAAGCTGCAGGGCGACTGATTGAGCTGGGAAGGCCTCACAAAGTCCCGGTCAGCCCAGAGGAGCGCCTGGATTGTCCATCCTGCGTTTCCAAGCTGGGCCCTGCCCGTGGTTCGTTTCTGCGTGAGCTTGGGCCTGTGAGATGATGCCCTGCGCCGGGGACGGGGGTGGACGTTCCCAGGCTTCCGCTGTGCTAACAGTCTGCTTTCCCTCCACCTTCCTGGCCCCGCAACAGGCCTGCGGAGGTAGCAGAGATGTTCCCTTGCCAAAGTGCTGCAGTGGGTTTGGAGAGCAGGGTGTGGGGGTCAGCCTGTTCATTGTCATCAGGAAGTCTCAAAATCCACCTTCACCAAGGTTTGATGGGAGCCCTGTCGATACAGCTGTATCGGAGATTTTGCTGTTCAGAGGTGGAGGCTTATCGATGCGGTGGCTGCTGGCTCTTCCCCCTGCCTTCTCGGACCAGCCTGGCCG